CAGAGCTATCAGATTTTAGTTGAATGAAGCATGAAGTCACAATAACAAGCCACGCGAATCTCACACCCATTTTTTAGACAAACGACGTAACCCCTCACTACACATCCAATCAGATGGACTTGATAGTTTGAGAAGTGTGGTGCTTATGATAGAACCTTTTGTAAAGCACCGTGCATTTTTGTCCTGACCTTTTAAGTGAATCTTCTTTGTACTCAGCTAAAAAAACTGTTAAATATAAGGTAAGAGATGAAAGTGATATATTTAGGTCCTTAGTTCGCTAATCTGTGCTACCTCTAAGCTTTTCCTTGTAGATCCTGCTAGAAGCTTCTACAAGCAGTCGTACCAAAGAACGACTCTCATTATATCTGTAATTACAGCTGTAACGAATAGTCGTAACCGATTTGCTTGAACCGTCGTATGAAACTGCGGTCACATCACCGCCGTATCGGGCCATTCATCGGTGAAAACTCATCACTCCCCCTCACCGCTAATGTTAGTTATGCTTTGTTGCTGACTTGGTTATAATTCCGAAAGCTTCACCCCAATATTGCAGCATCTTGGCTCCAAGTGCTTTCGTCAGCATATCTACAAGCTGATACTCTGTGTCATTATAGTGAATCTTCAATCGTATTTTTGCACGTTCTCACGAATTTAGTGGTGCTTGATATCCACATGTTTCGTCCATGCATGCTATCCGACATTATTGAGTCTTCGCTGGACTCTATGTGGATGATATGATTATTGCAGCAAGAACCAGCAAATAGACCAATCTGGTAAAAGACGTGCTCATGAATGCTTTCAAGATTAATTATTTGGGTAAGGCGGAGTTTTTTGGGCATGGAAATTTGCCACAACAGGCTAGCTGGGAAGCTTGTAAGCAAGAAGACCCGATGTATCAACGTCGTGGACAGTCGATTTGGTCAACAAGATGCCAAGTGAGTCGATAACCCGTGCGCATCAAGATTGAAGCTGTCGTCCTAAAACGGAAGGTGGACGTTCGACAAATCGCACGAAGCCATATCGATTTTTGATTGGCTGTCTTTCGTCCATTACGACTTGCACTCGACCAGACATTTCGTATGTGATTGCTGAGCTTTCACGTTTTCTGGGGAACCTTGACTGCAAAATTATAGGACTACGTGCCAAACCGGGTTGTCTACTGAGGCAGTGAGAGCGTTTAAGTCAAAGCGTATTCGGGTTGAGATTGGGGCAGCAACACTGACGACAGACGTTCGGTATTAGGGGTGATGATTATAACTGCAAGTACGCCCGTAGTATTAAAATCGAAGTGCCAGTGGACTGTTGCCCTCAGTTCAGCTGGGGCTGAGTATGTGGCTCTCAGTATTTGTACATACGAACTTATTTGGACGCGAGCAAGGTTAGAAGACATGGGTCATAAGCAAGTTGAAGACACGAAGGTGTAAGAAGATAATCCAGGAGAAGTCGCATCGTCAACATTTCTTGGTAGCTCATCTTTCGGCAGTCGCACGGCATGATTAGTCTTACAAACATTTGTCAGCAATTGCTATCTACGTCTTCGCAATCCGGGTGCGTTGAGACTAATCCGGTCTGTAAGTTCCACCCCTCGCTGAGAAGTTTGCTTTCTTAATGTTTGAGTCGCAAATGTCACCAGGCACCTCCACGAGGTGCAGGTGAGTCTTCTTCTTTAGCAGAGAACTTCACTCCAAATCTAATATTTCTTGCCACAAATCTGCATCTGCCAGACATTTTTTTGGTGACATAATTTTTCGTACATGTTATCAGAGCAAGAAGAGACGTAGGTGTTTGGTACACCAAACATGTAATATGTGAGATTACAGGATTCCGCGGTTCATTGATCGTTTTAACTTTTAGCTGAGATACGTTTTCTAAACACGTTTCCTCAATATTTGTCGCTGGACCTTCCAATGTTGAAAATGCTCATATTTTATTCGAAAGAAACCGCCAGACTAGTCTATTGAGCCATCGTTTGCGATGAGGCTTATATCGTTGTTAAGTTCTGCACCTGCGGACAAAAGTGCTTACCCAAATAAATTCAAGCTTTCCGTGTATAGCGCTCTCTGTGTCAAATTTTCTTATCCTGAAAATGCGATTTATGTATCTCGTAAAATATTCTTTACTTGATTTCCTTATCATACGATACCACCACATGTTGAGCCTCAAATGTGTCAGTGGTGTAATATCGCAAGTTGGGATAGATACAGTGGTGCATACGGACACCGAGCACTTTGGTAGGACGACAACTGAGCACACAAACTTGTTGCTTATCAAGACCCAAACAAACTGTACCTGGCCCGTACGCATTACTTGTCATCTTATCGATTCACAAGGTCACCATAGTGACATACGTCAGTCGAGCGGCGTGATGTCGATTCGGAGCGTGAACTTCAGCTACATATAGGAAAGAAGATTGAATACTCTGTCTGTTTTGTGGAAATTTCGGGAATGGCGTCGCTTTGCTCGGCGTCGCAAGATTTCTCTATATCATGAATGGCTTGGAGCCAAGCTAATTAACTAGAAGCTAGTAGCACATTTCATTATCAGTATTTCCCTGTCAGGAATGAGAATGTTTTCACCTAATGCACTGCCAATGGCAAAGGCTGGATACCACAGTTGAAAGTTTGTCTATATAATTGTTTATAGACGTAATGACTATTTAATTTTTACCTAGCTATCAATATATACTATACTGTAACAACTCTAATATACAATCTAAAAGTACGTGAAAACATTTATGGTTACATCACCTTAAAATCTGTTGATCAATGAACAAACGATCAAAAGACGGCCGGGGGACCAGACGCCCTCACTTATCTCTCACTGCCCTTAACCGGACCATCAGTCTAGCTCTACTCAGGGCTCAGCCCCCCGTCC